TAACCAAACCTGTCGGCCAAACATTTAGAGAGTAAAGACCTACTGGAGGTCAAGCTATGGTCTGAGCAATAACTAGAATACTGTCAGGCCAAAGCTGTTACTCAGCACGCTCAATAAGGGAATAGGGATGGGAAACTGACAAAGCTTAGGGCCCAAAGGGGTCCAGTTCATATCCATGGACAATGATTTCAGACATTGCCATGTTTCTGAACCATAACTTAAAGCATATAAAGGGGATACAGGGGTTTGATTCATAAGGTAGCAAGTAAATAACAAGTGACTGACAGGGTGCATACATAGATAAACATTAATTTACCAGGGAACGTATTACAGCATGCTAGTAACATATCTTGGCTACAGAAACATGAGTAGAAGTAGATAGGAATGAAAAACTGGAGTAATTAAAGAAAACATATTGTTGTTGAGGCTTGTAAATTAACTAGGACATACCAGTAGAGAAGCAAAGTGCAGAAAGGTAAAGCAAACACAAGTCCACAGTCTAGCCTTGGCTTACAGCCGGCTAGGCAAAGCAACAGCACAAGTAGTAGTAAAGAAAGAGAGAGTTTTAAGAGTAAGTGTGTATATTTTGAACTCAAGTTGTTCGTGTCTTTAAAGAAAAGAGGGTAGGGTATTTATAATTTTGAAAACGAGTGGAGAATAAGGTAATAAGTAAAGTTTTAACACAAATATGGAAACAATCACAAGTCAGAATCAATTAACACAAGACTTCCCTTTAATCAAGGGATTATTGTTCAAACGGATACTAACAGGGTCAAGATAAGGAAAGAAAATCAGTCTTTAAGCAGAATGGTTGCTGCCATAAAAGGAGCAGTAAAATCATACAATAGGTGTTTAAGTCTAAGTACAGGAATGTAATTATTTTTGGAAAGGATCTGGTAAGGCCAAACAAAGAGAAAGAATCAATTACCCCTTAACAGGCGAGTAAAAATCAGAATTTCACAAAGGAAAAGTTTTGAAAATCAATCACGAGTTTAAGAATCAATCACAGAAGGGACTCAGTATATAAATGAAGTGCACAAGTAATAGACATGTGAGGCCAAGTTATGGCAAAATAACAGCATATAGTAGTAACTAAAAAGAAGACATTCGAAGCATGATAGTCAAGTTTCAGTGTTTAACAATAGAGAAGAAGATCAGAAGCATGCAAAGAGTTGAGTGGAAACCATAGTTGAGTTTGACAGGTAGTAAAAACTCAGAACCAAAAGAGTCACATGAAGAAAAGAGAATTGAAGCACATTGCAATTTCAACAGACGAGTTGCACAAATAATTTCAAAGAAATCGAATAGTCCCCAAAGAAACTAGGGTTTTTGAAAATCAATCGAGTTTAGAGGAGATAAGCAGATAAATAAATAAACAGATTCAGAGTCTCGGATAAACCCCAAAAATTAGGGCTTTCACTATGCTAACTCAAACGAATATTAACAAACAGAAACTCAAACAAAGTCCCAAAATTAGGGTTTTCAACATGCTAACTCAGATAAAAATAAGGTAAATCAAACGAATATTAACAAACAGACTAAGAAACTCGAACAAAATCCCAAAAAATTAGGGTTTTCAACATGCTAACTCAGATAGAAAACAACACAAACAAAACACAGTAAAACCTGTCGAGAATCAGAGAAGAGATTCGAAATAACTTAACATGAAACCCTAGTTGAAGAATAAAGAGTTTCTGAAAGCAAAAAATTAAAGAGACTCGAGAAAAATGCATAGAAGGTTCACACCAACATAGATCCGGAGCAGATCTAGAAATAAATCGAAGGAACCTTAGAGATTAGGGTTTCGTAAGAAACCCAGGTGATGAGAAAGGCTTTGGAAAACATCGATCTGAGCAGGAAAGTCGAAGGTCGAACTCGAATAGCCATGACTGGCCGGACAAAGGTTGAAGACGACCGGAGAACAGTCATCGAACAAAGGCTTGGTCGGAACCCTTCAATATCTGGTCATAGAAAATGAGCACGCAGAAGCCATGAGAGGCCAGTATAGGCCTCCGATGAGCCTGAGAAGCCATAGATTAGGGTTTCAATGAGAGGCGGTGGCTAGGGTTTGAGGTGAGTTGAGAGAGAGTTGAGAGAGGAGGGGATTCAGAGGCGGCGGTCGAGAGAAATGAGGTAGGGTTTTAGGGTCGTTTGTATTAAAAAGGAAAGGGAAGAGGGGAGCCATTGATCTTTTAGATCAACGGCTGGGATTAAATGGGTTAAATGGGGACCGGGTTGGGTATGATAGGAAGGGGTATGGATCGGGTTGCAAGTGGTAATTGGGCTGGGTATTTTTTGGGCTGAGTTGGGGTTAATTGGGGATTAAATTGATGCTATATTTGCAATTGAAATGGCTATGTGTTAAATAGCTGATTTTTTCCCTTTAATTTTATATAAAATTAGTTAAAAATGATTTTAAACAAATTAAAAGCACTGAGCTAATTAATAATATATAAACATTAATCTGAAAATACTGGAAATAATTTTATAAGTGTAAAATGCCATTAATCGTAATATAGGCTGTAACTGCAGTTGTGTGCAATTTAGCATTAAAAACACCAAATGAATTCGTAAAAATATGCAAAAAATTACCTTAATTATATTTTGGTTTAAATGTGAGAATAAAATGAATTATTCACCAAAAATGATAATTTTGGGAATAATCATTGGATTTTGTTGTATTAAAATAGGCAATAAATTCGTTTTAAAAATCGTTAAAAATGCCAAAACCCTTGGGTGTGCTTATATATGCACAAATATGCTATTTTGGAAGTATTTTGGGTATAAAAATACTTAGGGAAAAAATTGGGTATCAACAGAAGGAGATTTAAAATTTCAGCCAAGGTGAAGGGGAGACAGTGTTTGAGGCATGGGAAAGATTTAAGGAACTATTGAGGAGGTGCCCTCACAACGGAATGGAGCAATGGATGCAACTCCAGGACTTTTGGGACGGGTTAACCTCATCATCAAGGAGATTTCTTAATAGTGCAGTTGCACATCCTCTGATGAAGAAAACTCCAGAAGAGATCGTCACACTTCTGAATAAACTATCTGAAGATACGGAACAATGGTCCACAGACCAATGGAATCGAAGAAGATTAGCAGAGGTGCACCAAGTAGAATCGTCATTATCAATGCAGGCCTAAATTACAGCTATGGCTAAGGACATCGAGCAACTGATGATCGCTCAAGTGAAAAATCAACCACAGGTGGGATGTGACATCTGTGGATTGGGACACCCGTCTCATGAGTGCCAAACATTCACCGCAAAAGAAGAAGTTAAGGCATTGGGTAATTTCAATAGAGGCAATTACCAAGGAGGTGGTAATTTCAATTATATGGGATAGAGACATCTAGGATTCTCATGGAGTTCTTCAACTGGTAGTTTGAACCCATGGCAGCAGCAAAATCCTAGAGCACCAGTGCAAGGACCTCCTAGCTTCCAAACTCAACAGAGGCAATCATACCAAACTCCACAGCCTAACAACTCAAGTTTAGAAGATCTAATGAAGGCATTTATAAATAAATCCGATAAAAAACTTGAGACTCAAGGGACCACTATCCGGGAGCAAGGCACAGCCATCCATAATCTAGAAAGACAAATGGGGCAGCTTGCAGCATTGTTGTTAGAAAAGGCGCCGTGGACTTTGCCGGCGGACACTGAAAAGAATCCAAAAGAGACAATCAAAGCCGTGTTTCTCAGGAGTGGGAAAACATTAGCAGAGCCCAAGGCAAAACTAAGGGATGAGAAGGAGATCAACTAAACCAATATAGCCGAAGAACAGAAAATTGGTGAATCTCTGCCTAAGGAGGATGTTAGCAGCAAGGAGGTTGATAAGCAGAAAGTGAGCAGCGAAGTTGAGGCAAGCAAGAACATGCCATTGTTACCATTTCGTCAAAAGATGAAGCGGGAGAAACTAGACAAATGCTTTGGGAAATTCTTGGAGATGGTGAAACAGTTGTATGTGGACATTCCGTTCACGGAGGTGCTCACACTGATGCCACCCTATGCAAAGTTCCTGGAGGAAATCCTTTCAAGCACAAGGAAGCTCGAGGAAATGAAATTGGTCAAACTCAATGCCCACTGTAGTGCCATTCTACAGAACAAATTTCCTAATAAGTGTGGGGATCCTGGCAGTTTCACTATACCTTGCTCGTTGGGTAGCAAAAATTTTGACAAAGCATTGTGCGATTCAGGTGCATCCATTAACTTGATGGCATAGTCGGTGTTCAAGAAATTGTAAGGAGAGCTAGGAGTGATCAAATCTATGATCCTTGAAACTGACTGATCAGATCACGATCATACCGGAGGGTATAATTGAGGATATTCTGGTGAGGATAGACAAATTTGTTTTACCAGTAGACTTCATCGTGCTAGATATGGAAGTGAATAAGGAGGTACCTCTAATCCTGGGGAGACCATTCCTTTGCACTGGCCGGGATATTCCTGATATATATGAGGGGAAACTCAAGCTACGAGTAGGAGACGAAAAAGTGGTATTTCAAATAAAGAGAATGATGAAATACCCATGTGATGAGGCATCTGCCTATACTACTCTCAAACTAGATGTGGTGGGAGAGTTAGCTGAACAACTCAAGCTGGATAAGCTGGTAGGTGATTCTCTAGGGATATGCTAATTCAATCAAGCGCAACAGAGGATGAAGATCCTGAGATCAAGAAGGAAGTTGAAGCGCTGGAAGATGAGAACCAGGTGGTAGACGAAGAAGAGTTCGAAAAAGAAAAGGGCAAGCCAAAGTTGGAATCAAAAGTACTCTCGACATATTTGAAATATGCTTTTTTGGAGACTTAACAATTTTCCCGTGATTGTTGCTGCTGATTTGGCAGGTGAACAGGAACACATGCTTGTGGAGTTACTACGGAAGCATAAAAAAGCAATCGGTTGGAGTATAGCCGATATTCAGGGGCTCAGCCCTTCAATCTACATGCACAAGATCCTGTTAGAAGAAGGGAGTAAACCAGTGGTGCATTCCCAACGTAAATTGAACAAAAATTTGAGAAGGTGGTGCACAAAGAGATACTCAAATTGCTGGATGCAAGTATAATATTTTTCATCTCTGACAGTCAAATGATTAGCCCCATACAGGTTGTGTTGAAAAAAGGGGGCATGACGGTGGTAAAAAACGAGGACAGCGAGCTAATTCCTACCAGAACGGTTACTGGGTGGAGGATGTGCATAGATTACCGGAGATTAAATTATGCAACAAGGAAGGATCACTTCCCCTTTCATTTCATTGATCAGATGTTGGAGAAGGTGGCGGGGCGTGGATGTTATTGCTTCTTAGATGGATATTCAGGGTACAACTAAATACCCATTTCTCCCGAGGATGTTGTGAAAACCACCTTTACATGCCCGTCCAGAATCTTTGCATAGTGGAGAATGCCTTTTGGACTATGCAGTGCACCAGCTACTTTCCATAGATGCATGATGTCAATATTTTTAGATTTGAACGGGAAGTGTTTGGAGGTGTTCATGGATGACTTTACTCTATTTGGAGATGACTTTGAAGATTGCTTGTGGAACCTCGAACTTATTTTGAAACGATGTGAGTACACTCACCTAGTACTCAACTAGGAAAAGTATCACTTCATGGTTAAGGAGGGGATAATCCTGGGCCATAATGTCACAGCCGAGGGTATTGGGTCGACAGAGCTAAAGTAGATGTGATAGCCAAGCTCCCACCGCCGACTTCAGTCAAGAGCATCAGAAGTTTTTTGGGGCATGCCGGTTTTTATAGGAGGTTCATCAAGAATATTTCTAGCATTACCAAGCCCTTAACTGCATTACTTGCCATGGATGTGAAATTTGTATTAAATGAGGAGTGTCTCTGAGATTCGAACTGATTAAGGAAATGCTAGTGAGCGCCCCTATAATGGTGACTCCTAACCGGAGTGAGCCTTTTGAGATAATGTGCGACGCTAGTGATATGGCAGTAGGAGCAATGCTGGGGCAGAGGAGAGATAAACTGTTCTGACCCATTTAATATGCAATCCAGACCTTGAATGATGCCCAGGTGAACTATGCTACCACGGAGAAGGAGTTCTTTGCAGTAGTCTTTGCTTTTGACAAGTTCAGATCCTATTTGGTGGGAAACAAGGTAATAGTGCATACTGATCACTCAACATTGAAATATTTGCTGAGTAAGAGAGAGTCCAAACCACGCCTGATGTGGTGGGTATTGTTGCTACAAGAATTTGATCTAGAAATCAAATATAGGAAGGGCTCAAAAAATCCAGTGGCTGACCACCAGTCGCGATTGGAGAAACCACCTATTGAAGCGGTGGACATTTAGGAAGAGTTTCCGGATGAGAATTTTTTTCCATTGCAGTAGTCTCCGATATACCACCATGGTTCGCCGACATAGCCAACTTCTTGGCTAGTGGGTGGCTGCCACACGACTTGACCTTCGATCAGAAAAAGAAGCTGCAAAGTGAGGTAAAATGTTATATTTGGAATGGCCCTTTCTTGTTTAAGCTGTGTGCAGATGGTGTGATGCGAAGATGTGTGCCTGATAGAGAGATGGCAAGCATTTTGTCTCACTGACATGATGGAGCAGCTAGAGGACACTATGATGGAAATCGCACTGCAGCAAAGGTTATGGAAGTCGGTTTCTTTTGGCCTACTTTGTACAAAGACGCACGAGCGTATGTAGCTGCATGTGAAAAGTGTCAAAGGGCAGGTAATATTCGCAAGAGGGACGAAATGCCTCTCAAATCTATTTTGATATGTGAAATTTTTGACGTTTGGGCATTGACTTCATGGGTCCTTTCCCATCGTCACATTCTTACGAGTATGTTCTAGTAGCTATTGATTGCGTCTCTAAGTGGGTATAATAAATACCTACTAGGACCAATGATGCTCGGGTGGTGTGTGCGTTCTTACGGAAGAACATCTTTACCCGTTTTGAGACACCTCGAGTGCTTATCAATGACAATGGGCCGCACTTTGTGAACAAGCAATTTGCTGCATTGCTGTCCAAGTATGAGGTAACACCCAAAACAGGAACCCCGTACCATGCCCAAACTAGTGGGCAAGTTGAAGTGGCTAAACGTGAACTTAAATGAACTCTTGAAAAGACAGTTAATGCTTCTCGTAAGGATTGGTCTGTAAAGTTGGAGGCAGCTCTATGGGCATACAGAACAGCATTCAAAACAATCATAGGGACTTCACCGTTTAAACTAGTGTATGGAAAATCATGTCTCCTGCCTGTTGAGATAGAACATAAAGCTTATTAGGCAATTAAGATGCCTAATCTTGATCTTAGTCTTGCAGGGGAACACAAGTTAGCGCAGATGAATGCATTGGAGGAGTTTAGACTGGACGCGTATGAAAATGCGCAGATTTTCAAGGAAAAGACTAAAAGGTGGCATGATCGCCTGATTAAGCCGAAGGAGTTTCATGAAGGGGGCACAATCTTACTATACAATAGTAGACTCAGGTTGTTCCCCTAAAAATTTAAATCTAGATGGACGGGACCGTATGTGGTGAAACATGTATCACCATATGGGGCAATTAAGATCCAGAACTAGGACGGAACGGAGAGTTTCAAAGTGAATGGGCACATGCTAAAACCGTATCTTGCTGGAGGATTTGCTCAGAAATCCTCGAGCATCAAAATAAGTTGAGGATGCTCGGTTGAGTCAAGCTGGCGACTATAACTCAGAACTACCTCTAACTCTTCTACTAGTTAGATTTTTCACTTTTGTTTATAGCGTATAGAAATCAGTGTATATTATGATGTGGTAGGTGCAGGAAGGTACATGTAGCGGAATGTAGGAACTAAGGTGTTTAAAAGGCCCCTTTTGAATGTATTCGTGCCCGACCGCGCACCTGGTGGGGGCATCACGTGCATATGGTCACGCAAAAGTCAACGTCAGACGATGCGGAACATGCACGGCCGTGCACATTCACCAGTTACTGCCAAACATGTGCGGCCGCGCACGAGGTGACCCGACTACGCACAGGTAAGTGTTTTTACCTTTTAATTTCGGACGCCCCCTCAAACCCCCCTTCTAAATTTTCCCCTTTTTCCTCTTCTCCTTCACAAAAAGAACCCTACGAATCCCACACCCCCTCTCTGTCAAAACAACACCAAAACACTCCCTTACTCTTCTTCCTTCACCCCTCTTCACGAGCTCTCTTTCCCAGAGACCCCTCAGGTATGTGGGCTGTTTTTTTTGTATTAACTTTATTTTGTTTTGTTTTGTTTTGTGTTTGTAGCAGATTTTTATTTTGTTTTCTTTCTTTTTGTGCTTTTTTTCTTGTGGGATGGAAGTTGAGTTTGACCATGGAGACTGACCACATAGTTGCTAGGAGTGACATTGGTGTATCCTTAGTCTAATTAGGGCTAAAATTGCTTTGTGGGAGGTTAGGACCTGCTGGGCATGGTAAGTGTTTGTGTAAATGCCACAATGAGATTGAGGGTGTAATTTTGTGACCAAGTGTGGGGGTGAAGTCTGAGTAGTCTCTTTTGGTTCGCCACGTGATTCATTAGCTGATAGTTGGCGGTTTGTTACAGGTACTATGGCGCCCTCCAAGAAAAGAAAAACTACAAGTGCTTTCACAAGTGGTCAAGCGGGCACGTCCCGATCGGGAGCTTCTGCATCCACTCGTCCTTATGACCAGAATAATTTTGTCGCATGGAAAGCCTAACAACGATTTAATAGCAAAGTAAGCAAAAATCCTATATTGGAGAGAGGAATCGATATTGGGTCTCTCCAAAATGACTGTCCCAGAGTGTATAATGAATTGGTCAGGCGAAGATGGGGGTGTTTCTCGAAGAACCCGACGAAGCAAATTTGATGGTTGTTAGGGAGTTCTATGCGAACTGCCCGGAACATGAGGACCATGTCTCCACAGTCCGAAAGAAGAGAGTGGACTTCTCCAAGGAGGCCATCCGAAGGGTATATCATTTGCGGGAGTACGAGGAAGACCCTGATACAGGTGACTACTACTTCACCTACAGTTGAAAACCATAAATGCAACGCCTATTCTTTGAAACCATTTATGTACTTGACAAGGAGGTAGTGTGGCTAAAGGAAGGGCACAAATTTCACTCAGCTTCGCTTACCTTTGAGGGAAGTGCTGGCTATACATCGTTAATAACCGTCTGCTGCATTCAGGCAACACCACTTAGGTGAATGGTCCCCGGGCTGCTTTGATTTGGTTCCTTATCAATGGCCATGATTTTGATGTGGCTTAGG